GGCCGGTCCAGGGCTGCTAGGGACACATTAACCACTAATCAGGCTCAAGAAGTGTCGCCTCCTCTCCAGGTCCTGTCGGTATTAAGTCTTTTGCACTTTAGTGGCCCAAGCAGCTCTCCCTCCGTCCCCGAGGAGAGGACCATGATACTGTAAGTCCGGACTGCGGATCTTCAGGTGGGACCCATTTCTCAGGCTGGGAAACTGAGGTTTATAGGCGAGGTGGTTTTCGGGGTTCTCGTGGTTTCATAGTTGCAGCCAATTCATCTTGTCCCCTCCAGGATCTGCCCATTTTTAGGGTCTGCCACACGGCGCCGCCCCTTCCCTGTAACTATGCAACTGTGCTGCGGTAACTTTAAAAGCGAGGGTGGGGGCGAAAGGACCCTTTTTGAAAAAAAAAAAAAAACTTTCAATATGGCGTCCTAGTGGTCACGTGCTCTGCTGCGGCGAGTGATTGGCTCTTGGGGTCCTTGAGGGGCAGAACTCTTAGGCGTGGGGCGGGGCCGCCTCGCGCTTACAGCCGGCTACTGTTTGCCTGAGCCTCTTGGCGCGCCCCCGCGAGCCCCCTCCTACCCGGCGCGCGACCCCGTCGCTCCGAATGTTATGAATCAAATGTGAGGTTTGTTACATTCCGCTGCCGCGGCGGACAGTTCTTAAAGGGCCAGTCTCCGGCAGCCGCGCAAAACAGGTTTCGTCCTGCGCCTCCTCCCCCTCCGGTTCCCCCAGAGCCTGGGCCGAGAGAGGCGGACCGCGCGTGGGCCTCGTGAAGCAGACGCGGTCGGACGGATAACAAAGAGGGCCCCGGAAGCAGCCAGGCTGCCCCTGCACTGGGGAGGTGGGGAGGGCAGCACATAATTTCAGAGCGGGGGCTTTAAAGGGTCCAAGTAGCTCCCCCGCCCCCCTGCCCTGCTTGGCTGTCCTAGAACGGAACAAAGGAGTAAACGTGTGGTGTGGCCGGGCGGCCGAAGGTGAGTCAGAGCCAGGGCCCCCTACTCCCGATTCCCCCACCTCTGCGACTTCTTGTCCCCTCCCCTGGGACTGGGACCCGTGATCTAGTTGGCTTTGCAGGGGTTAATCACTGGCGGTTCGGGCCTGGGGTGGCGAGATACCAGGGATCCCCAGTGCCTACTGAGCCCGGGCCAGATCTCCCCTCTCTGGAGACTCAGAGCTGCGGTTGGAGGGGAAGGAGCCGCCCCCTCCCCCTGCTGCCGCCACTTCCTTTGTTGTTGCTTTTGTCTCACGCCGAGCACATGGTCCGGGATCCTTGGCTCTTAAAGTCACAGCGCTCCGGCCCCGGCGCCGCAGTCCGGTCCCACGCCCCTGTGAGCATGGCACAAAGGAGTTTAGGAAGTAAGGAAGCGCCTCTCGACCTGAATGTCCGCACCATGTCCTAGCCCCATCCCTGGGACCAGTGGACAGGAAATGCTTTTTCGGAGCCCCAGAACCTCAGCCTGCCTCGCGTTGGGAGGGGCCTGGCCCTTTAGGGCATTGGTTCCTCCCTTACTATCTTGACCACCTGGTTTCCTTGCAGTTGTACTCTTCTGGCGTTATTTTAGCACTCTGAGAAGGAGAGATACTCACCCCCATTTTAGAGTTGCAGAAACTGAGGCTCAACAATATTTCCTTGCCCAAGGTCACCCAGGGAGTGTGGGTTAGTCAAGGACTCCTAGTTCCTAGTCTAGTGGTCTGGTCCTAAGCCGCTTCTAGACACTATACTTAAGGGAACTGTGCTTGCTCACTGGGCGGAGTTGGACTGGGTCTCCCTCCCTGAGGAGGTGGGGTGCCACGAGGGGGTGTTTGTTCCTCCTGCCAGAGTCTGTTCAGGCACCCAGAGTCAGACTTTGCTCATTTGCCAAAATGGGTGCTGATAACTGAAAACAGCCCTTAGCATTAAATGATATTAACAGGAATTTCCTAAAGCAAGGTGCGGATAGTTACTTGGGCAGGAGAAATGGGAGTTGGCAGCTTGGAGCAAGGGTCTTGGGAATGGGGTTGTGAGTGAGGTGTGCACAGTGTAGGGACTGCCTCCAAAAAATCGGGTTTGATGTCACAATCTGCAAACATGTTTGCACAGACCTTAACAGCATAGCATATAGAGTTTGAGAAGGCAGAGCAGTTAGGGTATATCCATCTGGCCACTCTTGCCTTTTGACCTTGAGGAAGTTTCCAGCTTCCTTCCTGAGCCTCACTTGATTTTCTTTACAGTGAGGTTAATCATAGGTGGTGAAGAAGAAGGCACTCTCAGTGTTCTCTAAGATACAGAATAGAGAGTTGGGCTGTGGAGGTTCTTTCCTTTGGCTACAGATGCCAATACAAGTTGCAGATTAGAAGAATCTGGACCTTGGTGGCCAGAATGCCTCTGTTCCTTTCCTGGACCTGTACCTATTAGGCTTTATATCCCAGAATAAATAACTTTTCTTCACTGACTCTCAACTTTGCTCAACTGAGAGGTGAGTGTGTCTCCTTGATGCCAGCTCTCTATTCCCAGTAGGGCCCTAAGCACTGAGCATATGCCCCTCCTTGCCTGGATATTCCCCTAGTGCACGTTTCCCTGGTGCCCCCTGCTGGATTTGGAGTGGCATCTATTGATGCTTGCACAGGGTGGCCCAGCACACCTTATTTTCTAATAACAATTTCTCCATGGAAATTGAATCTAAACTACCAGTCACTGGTGTCATTGACTTTGAGAAGTCTTTGTTGCTGCACTGAGAGGGGGTTATTGGGCTGTTCTAATTTCATAGCTGATGCTCAAAGGTGAAGCAGTGTGCAAGGCCTGCCTGCCCCCTAGACTGTCCCAAAAGTTGGGGGTGGTGTGGGGGAGCAGGAAAGTTGGTGTATTGCCTTTGGCACTGTTGTATTCTGCTAGAGGCCCTTTCTGTCTGCAAGTTTGGTTTCTGAGTTCTATGCCATCTTCTCCTCTATAAAGAGTGCATGCCTTGGAAGGAAACTGGTCACAGAGGAGATTCACACAGGCCTGGGCCTCTGAGGCCTCCACACACCTGAGCCTTAGTGCTGCTAGCTGTCAGCAGGAAAGCCTGACACGGGGTGGGGGGAGCAGTAGATTTCCCCAGCCACTCTGTGTAGGCCACGTCTTAGCTCATTCACAATCCTCGCCTTGGGACCTCACCCCACTAAGACTGTTTCTCACTCCTGATGGCTTTTTTGAGGACTCATGATGATGGTTCTTGTAAAAGACTTTACACACAAATTTTATTATACTTGGTTTTGTTAATATTCCCTATTGGCAGGATGAGCAGGGCTGTCTATAGAGTCACTTAGAGCAGAAGGTCCCCAGACTAGCCATGCTGGAGAACCTACCAGAGCATTAGTTAAACTTCTGGAGGCCTTTTGTTTTCCTCTTTACTAAAGATTCTCATCCTGAAAATCTGGGGTTGAGCCAGGGAATCTGGTAGGGATTTTTTTTTTCCTATTTGTATTATTTCTCATTTCCCTTGGACCTTGTTTACTTGACTGGGTGTGAGTGTGCACATGTGTGCATCAGGGTTGTGTGCACTGGCTCATGCCAGGGGTCATGAGCCGATGGTGGTAAGCAGGGAATGGCCGAATGTGGCCTGGGAAAGGGCACTGATGCCTCAGGTAAAAGGGGCAGCTGAGGGACTGAGCAGAAGTGGGCCAGATTTTCTGGTTCCCTCATCTCTCCAGATGTCAGACTTGCGTCATTTCCCAAATTTTTATTATTGGCACTAACTTTATCACCTGCAGACTGGGGCCTGTGCCCTTTAATCAGCACCCCACAGAGTACAGCTTCAGGTTAGGCTGGACACAGCCTGATGGCCCTTGGTACACCTCCCCCCAGGACAGAGGCCCTACAAAGTGGAGACAGGAAGCCCTCTTCTGAGAGCTGGGGCTCCTGCTTGTAACACCCAACAGTTCCTCACCCCTGTCTGAAGGAGGAGCCGCATCGAAGCAGCTGTATCCTGGAGACTTGGGATTGGCAAGCTGGGAGAGGGGTAGCCGCTGTACTATCAGTGCTGGACCTTTTTTGAGACACCCTTCTCCACTGTGCTTTTCCCTGCCAGGGTCTCACCCCAACCTCAGCAACCCTCAGAACTTTCTCAGGAGGAGCTAGAGACCCCTGCTTATCTCATGAACCCCCAGCACCAGCCTGGGGAGGAGACCCTACCCCTTCCATGCCCTGCTCAGTCTCCACCCATGGCGCTCTGGTCTTTGCTCAGTAGTCCCCATCTCCTCCTTGTGAGGCATGTTGGGGGTCCCTGGTGTAGGCACTTGGCTGCACACCAGACCCATCAGCCTACTGTTAGTACCAGCCTCCTTGGTCACTGCCACCATGAAGCCCTCAGGCTCTCCCACCACCGCTACTGGCAGCAGTACTGGGAAGGCCATAGCCTTAGCTTGTTCCTGGTGTTGATACTCTGGGGCCTTGGACAAGTCCCTATTATCCATCTGAGTTTCTTTTCTGTTAAATAAAACCGGCAATACCTTCTCTTAAGGATAAGAGAAAATAGTTGCTTTGGAAGTCAGCTAAGGAGAGAGGGAATATGGTTTGGAAGACTCTCTGAGGGTGGGAACCAGGTGGGTAGGCATTAGTGTGGAGTCCTTCCTGGGTGAGCCAGTGGATTAAGGGAAACCACAGTCCCTTGAAACTTCCACCCTTCTGGAGAAACCCATTTCACCCCTCCCAGAAAAGAGTGCCCTGGAACATCACCAGAAGGAGGCTCCCCAGAGCCCACTGGCCTGGGCATTTCACTGAGCTCTCTGAAGGAAGCGCTCAGGGGAGAACTTGATCCTGTTCCATGGAGCCAGGAGCCTCTGTTGCCTTGGTCAGCCCTCCTGCTAGTGAACCCCTGATGTGTCAGAAGGGGCCCAGCCCAAGTCTACAGGGAGCAATACAGGGGCAGAGGAAGAGCGTTGTGGCTTCTGGGACCATTCTGCAGAGGTTTACATCTCCTGAGCCCTGACAGGCAGGACCTGCAGCTGAGCCTTTCTGTGCCACAATTTTCTTTTGTCTGTTTTCCTCCTAGGGGTATTAGCCCCAGCCCGGTCCCTCAGCCTTCTGACGCCCCTGATGCAACCATGGGTGGTGGCAGTGACTAGGTGGCCCCCTTCCACACCTGTCGCTCAGCGGCGATTCTCAGCAGGGCCCAGCAGTTCTCCCAGTCAGCGCCGGCACAGGTAGGAGCAAAACCCTGGTCGTGGGGCCATGGGAGACAAGGATGAACGCCCTTTTAACCCAGTGGGTTGGGACCCAGCTGCTCAACCTACTCTGTATGCAAGCTGCCCCTCTAAGACCTCCTGGGGCCTCCTCTCTGTGGTGCAGCCCCAGTCGTGAGGGCCCCCTGGCCAGCGCTCCTGCCCAGGATGAGCGCTTACCCTCCCAGCAGCCGCTGCACCAGTCACCTCACCTCCCCGTAGAGGAGCGCCGAACTTCGGCTCCTGCCGGCGGGAGCCCCCGAATGCTGCACCCGGCCACCCAGCAGAGCCCGTTCATGGTTGATCTCCACGACCAGGTAGGCACAGTACACCCTTAACCCTCAGGACTCCCCCCTCTTCAGCAAGCCCATCTAGGAGCAGAGGTAGCAAAGTCCCAGCTTCATCCACCTTGCTTAACTCCCGTTATGCTCAAGGGAGGTGTCATTAGCACTCTTCTACAGATGGGTAAACTGGGACCTAGGAAAGGAATGGCCTTCCCTGTGGTCATACAGTAGGTGACTGGCAGAACTGGAAGCCTGTCCCAGGTCACCAAAGGATTCTCTCTGCCAGGGTATGGTGACGGGTGGGGACTAGGACAGGGCCAGCCAGCTCTGCACATCTGTAGATGCCGGTAGAGAAAAAGACTGAAGCTAGTGCTGGATCTGACAGGACCTTCCTTCCTGTGAGACCCTGTGGCCAAATCTCCCTACAGCTCCCTGGGGCTCTGTTTACTTACAGGTGCACCAGGGACCCGTCCCTCTGTCCTACACAGTCACCACCGTGACGACCCAAGGCTTTCCCTTGCCTGCAGGCCAGCACATCCCTGGCTGCAGTGCCCAGCAGCTCCCAGCATGCTCTGTGATGTTCAGTGGACAGCACTACCCCCTCTGCTGCCTCCCGCCCCCAGTGAGTATGCCCTCTGTGTGCCCCACCCAGTCCTGAAGAAAGCCCCCCATTGGGCTGGTGGCTCTGTGCTCCAGTTGGACAGCTGAGAGCTGGCCTGGGCCACACTCCTGACCCATCAGGCTGGCAGAGCAGTGCCCAGCCTTTGGACCACGGTCCTCCCTGGGAGAGAGTGTGATTTGATGACATAGCACTGGATCCCACCCCTTGAGGGTGTGGTATATCCTCCACCAGGGAGGGGGTGTTGAAGGGGAAACCTTGTGCAGGTAGATGGACCCTGGCTTGAACACAGGACGCACTATCCAGCCCCACCCTCTCCCACAGCTGATCCAGGCCTGCACCATGCAGCAGCTCCCGGTGCCCTACCAGGCCTACCCCCACCTCATCTCCAGCGACCACTATATCCTGCACCCCCCACCGCCAGCCCCGCCCCCCCAGCCTACCCACATGGCCCCCCTTGGCCAGTTCGTGTCACTGCAGACCCAGCACCCAAGAATGGTGAGTCTGGGGGTGAGGCTGAGGCGAAGTCAGGGTGAGATGGGATTTTCCTCAGCTGGCCGCTGATCTGAGCACACCTTTTCAGCCTTTGCAGCGGCTTGATAACGATGTGGACCTGCGGGGGGACCAGCACCCCCTGGGGAGCTTCACCTACTCCACCTCGGCCCCTGGCCCCACCCTCTCTCCATCTATGCCCCTGCACTACCTGCCCCATGAGCCGCTGCCCCAGGAGCTGCCCTTCGGCATGGTAAGTGCTGCCTCCCCTCGCCCAGGTGGCCTGGGTTGTCTAGGACAGTGAGGGCAGGCCCCTGACCTGCCTGGCCCTGGTCGTCACCCCCCACAGCCATATTCCCACATGATGCCGCGGAGACTGAACACCCAGAGATACCGTCTGCAGCAGCCATTACCACCGCCGCCCCCACCACCACCGCCTCCACCACCTTATTACCCCAGTTTCCTGCCCTACTTCCTGTAAGTACCAGCGGCTCTGCCTCAGAGTCTTTGAGACCTTGTCCTCCTGGGGCCTCTAGGTCCAGGGCCAGATTTGGACAGACCCTATGGGCTCCCCATGTGGTCTTGGCAGAGCTCCCAGCTTCATCTGCTTGGAGGGAGTGGAGCATGACCCCAGATCTGACTCTTGAGCTTTCATGCTTGCCTCCCTCTAGCTCAATGCTGCCGATGTCACCCACCACGATGGGACCCACCATCAGCCTGGACCTTGATGTGGATGACGTGGAGATGGAGAACTATGAGGTCTGGTGAAGATACTCGGGGGTGGGGGTCTGGAGAGCTCTGGCCCCGGAGCCACTCACCCTGCATCTCCATTTCCCCCACGCAGGCCCTCCTGAACCTGGCGGAGCGGCTGGGCGACGCCAAGCCCCGTGGCCTCACCAAAGCTGACATTGAGCAGCTCCCATCCTACCGCTTCAATCCTGACAGCCATCAGTCAGAACAGACGCTGTGAGTGCCACCCCGGCTTCCTGCCCCCAAGTGCTGGGAGGGCTAGGGGAGCCCTGGTCAGAGTGCGTCCGTGGTGGGTCTTGCCCGGGACCCTCTGTGCAGACCTGGATGGTGTGGGCTTCCCTCTAGGTGCGTTGTCTGCTTCAGTGACTTTGAGGCGAGGCAGCTACTGCGGGTTCTCCCCTGCAACCACGAGTTCCACACCAAGTGCATCGACAAGTGGTTAAAGGTAACAGCTGGAGTTGGCTCCTGGCAGCTCTGGAGCGGTGAGGGAGGAGGGTGGGCCCTGAGAGTCTCTTTCGCCTTTTTTATCATTTACAAGGTCTACTTTCATCCAGGGATCTCGGGTCCCCTGAAGTACACTGGGTAAGGGGCGATGCTCAGGTAGGGATGGAGCCTGATATGTGGCTACTTCCCACCCCTGCCCCAGGCCAACCGGACGTGCCCCATCTGCCGGGCCGATGCCTCCGAGGTGCCCAGGGAGGCGGAGTGAGGCCACACAGCTGCCCGGAAGAACCCTGCTCCCGAAGCTCTGGAATCTCGGGGGGGGGTGGGGGGTGGGACCCGGGAGGATGGGAAGGAGTTCCCGAGCCTGCCCCGCCATCCCCACCTGCCTCTCCAGAGCCGGTGCCAGGGTCAGCCCCGCGAGACCCCCTGCAATAAGCCCCTGCGTTTGCCAAGCTCCAAAGACTCCTTCCTGGTCTGCCTGCCTGTCTGCTCGCCTGAGCTGCCCGAGGGCCCCGACTCCACTTGCCTCCTGTTGGTCTTTGGGGCCTGTCTCTTCTTCCTTCTTAGCCAGGGATCCTCCCCCCCTCAGTGTGGCTAGTGGGGACCCTAGGCCCCAGGATGGGCAGAGGGGGCCCCCTCCTGGGTCGCCTGGTCTCTTGCACTGAAGTGGCACACCTTTTGCCCGAGTGGCAGTGGTGGGTGCTCAGGCAGATGGGGCATGAGGCCATTTTCTGAGCCCCAAACTGGGTCATCCCCCCTTGACCTCAGACTCAGGCAGCCAGCCCACACAGGCTACTGTAGAAGGGTGGCTCTGGCTCTGAGGGCACCCTCAACCCTGGCACAACATTCCAGCCCCTGCCCCTAGGCTGGAGGGCACAGAGCCACCTGCTCAGGAGACAGGCTCTGAGCAGGCAGTGGACATCCTGCACCAGGTCAGGGCCATGCCACAGGGCCCTCTCTGCTCCGGGTGGCTGTCCCCCATATCAGTGACCAGGCCTGACCCCTGCTCGATCTCCCTCTGTCGTGTTGCATGAACATGAGGAGCAGTTTTTGTTTATTCATTTGGCCCAGAATCGTGTGTAGGATTTCGGGGTGTGGATTTTTTAAAAGTTTTTTTTTTTCCTTTTTGATTTTATGAGGGGGTCTAGGAGCCACCTGGGACTGATGCCCCCAGGTAGGGATGCCCACCAGAGCTGCCTGGCCTGCTTGCATGTGAACGGCTGGGGCGGGGCTGGGCCGGGTGGGCGGGGTCTGTGCTCAGCTGATAACTGCCATGCACTGTACTGCACATGTCCCCAGAGCCCAACGGGACAGTTCGCTTTTCAGGGCATTTCCTCCTCTAGCCGGGTCTGCCTCCCACCTGCCTGGGTGAGTCTCCTCCAGGGACATCCCTGGAGGACAGGGACCAAGGAGGGCATGGCCCCCTCTCCAGCAGACTCTTTCCAGCCTGGGCCCTGCCCTGCAAGGCCTGGAGGGGACCCTGTGGGTCTGGCTGAGCTTCCCTCACTCCCTGTCCCTGGCCCTCCTCTCACCCCAGCTGGGGTTGCTGCCCCGAACGAACCGCGTGTGGGGCCGGCACATCCTAGCAGGCAGCCCCTGGCGCCTGCTGCCTCAGGGATGCTCCAACCACCCTCGTTCTCTTCGCAGCCACCCTAGTCCCCCTCCCTAGCCTGCCAAGGGGGCCCATCAGCCTGGCCCCACCCCTGAGGAGAACCCAAAGTCTTACTGTATATAACTCCAGGCGACGTTTCTATATTTATAGCAGTGTTGAAAACCCATGTATTTTACACAGAACCACCTGATCCAACCCCCCTCCCTCCCCACCCTAATAAAAGGTTTGCAAAAAACCCCTTAGGGTTCCTGGGGCAGGTGGAAATGGGCTCATGGAGTGTGTGTCGGCTGCAGCCATGATGCCAACAAGCAGCTCTTTTGCGGGGGAAACACAGCATTTAAAAAAAAAATTAAAAAACAGATTTATAAAACAATTATTTAGGATGTTTGTGATTTGCCGACCTTGCTATAGATGCCATGTTACCAATGATTTCCTGTGGTGGGGGCTTGTCATTGTTTACTCTTTGATTTACCAACTTCTGGCCTAGGCATGACTGTGGGCACCATCCCCCAGCCCGGGCTGGGTCCAGCGCCCGTGTTCTGTGTTGGAAAGATTTTATATTTATATATATATATATATATATATAATTACATGTGTGTATGTGTATATATATATATATATACATATAAATATATGTAACTTGGGGGGCCCTGTTCCTTGCACATTTTACAGTTACCTCATTTTCCCCATGTATGTATTTGAAAAAAAAATGCTAATATATAGAGAAAAAAATGGTTCTTAAAGCTTAAATGTGTGGTTTTTTCCCATTCCATTGGATTCACATTGGTTTGTAGCATTTAACATAACTAGTATGTTGTATTATATATATATGTGTATACTGATTGAAATTTTTAACAGATTTGTACTTTTTTAAAAATGAAAGTTGCTAGTTCTGCTTGACCAAGTAGTGCAATCATTATTTTTTTAATATTGTTGCTGATTTCAGAGGGATATTCACTAATAAATGTATGATGTATACTGAATACTGCCCATGTCGTTTTTGGCTGCCCGTGTTCTTTTGGCAGGAAGATTGGGAGCAGAATGAGGTTGGCCCAGGTCAGGCTCCTGGTTAATACACCACACGCTTGGTCAGCAGCACTGTCAGTAGAGGTTTACTGTGGTGCTTAGAGGTTTCAGCAGAGCATCCACGCTAAGACTAGGGGGAAAGATCTGGCAGTTTGCTTTTAATAAAATCACTCTTCCATGGTCTGAGTCAGAACCTCCTCCTAGCTGATCCTCCATTAACTTCCCAACTGAATCCCATGAAGAGGTAGCTCCGCTTTCTCTGTCAGAGCCGCCGGAGGATTAGAGCCACCGGAGAGGCTTGGCTTTTGAGTTAGTGCAGTTCCCTACACAGCCGTGAAGACTGGGTTACAACAATCCAATCTATTGGCTATTATAGTGTAGCGCAGGAGCAGGCAGTGTTTCATTCTCTTGTCTGTGGGCCACTGAGAGTCGAGCTGATTTGACAGCAAGAAGTGTTGGCAAATGAGAGGATTGCTTTGAGGGAGGGAGAAGTCACTGGTCTGCAGTTTATTCTGGAAATGGACTCTGCTTTGACCACGACTGATCGCTCAGGCCTGTCACAAGAAGCTTTCATCTTAGTGTGTTTATAGGCCCTTCTGCATTTGTCGCTCTGACTCAGTTTTCTCTAATTTGGTATCATCTCCAGGGAAAACCTACCTGGCCCTCTGACTGAAAGACATCCATATTTGTTCCTATTCCCAAGAAAAGTGACCTAGCCGAATGTGGAAATTATTCAACAATATAATTAGTATCACATGCAAGCAAAATATTACTGAAGATCATCCAAAACCAGCTGGAACAGAAGTAACTTGACATGAAATTGCTGGAAGTACAAGCTGGACTTAGAAGAGGCCATGGTACCAGGGATATCGTCATTTATGTCAGAGGGTTCTAGGGTTCTTCACTGAAAGCTAAGAATACCAGAAGAATGTTTTATTGACTATGCAAAGGCATTTGTGTGCATCACAATATATGGCTAACATTGAAAAGAATGGGAATCCCAGCCATTTAAAGTGTATTTATTTGAAATCTAAACCTAAACCAAGAAGCTCCTGTCTAAATGGAACACTGTATGGTTTAAAATCAAGAAGGGTGTGTGTCAACGGTCATATCCTTTCTCCATACCTAATCAGTCTGTACTGAGCAAATGATTCATGAAGCCAGACTCTATGGAGAAGAATGTGGAAACAAGATTGGAGGAAGACTTAACAACCTGCGTCAAGCTGGTGACACAACCTTGTTTCTACAAGCCTTCAGTATGAATTACATCTCAACATGAAGAAAACAAAGATCCTTACTAACTGGGCCAATAGGCAACATCATGAGAGATGGAGAAAGGATTGTGACTGTCAGTGAGTTCATCTTTCCTGGATCCACAGTCAATGCCCTATACCAGCAGTCGGGAGATCAGGAGTTGTATTCCTTTGGACAAGGCCACTGTCAGGAATCTCTCAAATACTGAAGAGCAGTGATGTCACTTTGAGGACTAAAGTGTGCCTGCTTCAGGCTGTCTTTTCAGTTACTTGCTGTGCGTCTCAGAGCTGGACAAAAAGATGACAGAAGAATCGATGTTATTAAGCTGTGATGTTGGAGAAGAGTGCTGAACATCCCATGGACCGCCAAAAAGAACAAACAGGAATATCTTGGAGAAAGTGCAGCCGGAGTGCTCTTTGGAGGCAAGGATGGCAAAGCTTCAGCGCTCATACTTTGGACATGTTGCTAGGAGAGGCTATTCTTGGGAAGGGACATCATGTTTAGAAAGGTGGAGGGATGGCAGAGGAGAGGAAGACCTTCACGGAGATGGATGCAATGTCTGCAGCAATGGGCTCAAGTGTGTCAGAGATGGTGAGGATGGCACAGGTTAGGACAGGATCCAGATCCATTGTTGATAAGGTTCTATGAGCCATACTCAACAGCACCAAACAAAACCAGGGAAAACTCTTCCCTTGCCCAGGAACTGGAGCAGAGTTTCTGAGATTGAGTCTTAATCAACTTGCCCTCAGAGACCGATGTCAGGACTGCATTACATACCCACCTCTCATTGCAGCTTCGTGGACTAGCGTCCTCATCCCAGTTGGTTCAGTCACCTTCAGAACCAGGCTGATTTTGTGATGACTACTCATTAGGGTGTTTGGTGCTGCAGGAAACACATCGTGAACCAACATACGACGACAGAGCAAGAACCCTGGGAGTCGAGACGTGGAGCTTTAGGTCTGTGATGCCACGAAGGGGCCTTAGTGAAGGCACTTTCTGTTAGCCTTTGGATCATCTGCAGGTTAGGGGACAGGATTAGTTAAGGGGTTCCCTAAGTATGTTTCAGAGAGTCTTGAAAGAGTGGAGTGGATTCTATGTGAAAGAGTTTCTGTGGTCAAATTTATTGGACAATCCACATAGAAGATACCCAGGGCTTTGCCAAACTTTGATAATGCTAATGAGCATTGTATATCTTTCCCCCAGTTGGCTACATTTGATTTGTGGGGGCTACAGTTTCGTTCCCTAGAGCATGTGGGGACTAGACCAGTAGTAGCTGAATTCCTTGGTCCCTTGAAGTCTGAGAAAAACGTAAACTGGTCGGTCACCAAACTGTTTTCAGTATTTCAGAAAGCCTAAGGGGAAGAGCGTGCAGAAAAAAGCAAAGGGATAGCAGAAGTGGGGGAAGGCAGTGAGTGAATGGGAAAGTTTCTG